CACACACACACACACAACAAAACATACAATAAAAAACATGAAAGATAACAACTACAAAAAGTCAAATATCTGGGTGCCTGGATACCTGGAGTTGTCATCTCTGACTCAGAGGTTGACATGTAATGACCCTCCATCCTTCATTGTCGCGAGCTGCCCTTACACATTCCGCCACATCCAGGCCTGTCCATACGTCTATATGTTGTCCATCCAAGTTACTTAACGCTATCCGTACGCCTTGGGGTCATTTTGTATCCCCGGAGTTGTATTCTTCACATGTTCTAACATGCATTTAGTACGAAGATCTCTTTGAAACTTTCAGTATTTCTCTAAAAATCATTTTGACAGACTGCTCTGCAAAGCGTACGGATCGGATAAACGAGTAAATTTCCTCTTTTAAAGTGGTGGCACAGAGTTCCCCACGTCGAAGGATACGATAGTAGATCACGACATACGTTTAAAAAAGCCAATTAATAAACCAATGAACAAACCACGACATGAACTCTCTTGACAGCATACGCAAGAAGCAACAGCAACAGCAGCAACAACAGCACACCGAGCGGCTCCCTCCGACAGAAGGGTGTGTTTGAGCGGAGTTTTGGCTCTCAGCTGCTCAACGCTCACTCGTCCGACCGCTACAATCTGATGGGAGTCCTGGAGGACCACGCGAGGAGGACGCTGAAAGACGATGAGTGCACGGCCGTGCTGAGACACGTGCATAATGTGAGTTGATGAAAGGGGGAGGAGAGGCAGAGGGAGGGGGGAAGGGAGGGGGAGAGAGGGAGAGAGAGAGAGAGAGAGAGAGAGAGAGAGAGAGAGAGAGAAGGCTAGAGCGAGGGGGGAGGGAGGGGAGGGGAGAAAGAGATGGTGGACTCCAGAGATTTAATTTCTTAGACAGAGAGAAGAGAGAGAGAGAGAAGAGAGAGACAGAGAAAGAAAGAAACAGACAGAGTGAGAGAAAGAGTGAGAGAAAGAGAGAGAGAGAACGAGAGAGAGAGAGAGAGAGAGAGAGAGAGAGAGAGAGAGAGAGAGAGAGAG